TAACGAAATAGCTATGATTTTTGTCAACTGGTGCATTGGAATTGGCGGAAAATAGGGCTCAAAGTGGGTGAAATCACCGATACGTAAACATTGTCGAGACTGCTTACTTCACGAAAGCATAATTCCATAAGTTTTCCATCAAATTTCATACTGTTGGTGTCAATATGATTGGGAAAAAATTCTCTATCATTTCATAAGAAAAAAAAATTTTTTACTTTTTTTGAAAAATTTTCGACCCTGAGAACAAGCTTAGGAGAGGGCCTCTTGACCCTGAAAGGGTTAAGACCCAGCAATTTATTTATGCTTTCATGTCTCGGTTGAAAGTACATCTCGTTTCTAGAGCTTATAATCCTTATAATCATAATACCACTCTTGAGCATGAACTACTCGTTGTATTTCTTTTTCATTTTTTTTGCAGTTATAGCTTACTGTGTGAGCTCTTGTGAATTTCCTGATAGAATTGGCACCTGAGAATAACAAAATTCTAAATTATTATTATTTCAGATAATTCTCTGGACCATTAACAGATATTCCAAAAATGGAAATACTGTACAGTAGTTAGTTTAATTTTAGTTAATATCTTTATTATACTCCCCATACTCATCCTGTGGGTGGTAGTCAAAAGATTACAGATGCACATAAAGGGTCCAGGGACTGGGCTGCAAAGTTTTGATAACTGAACAAGTTACAATGGTAATAACTATTTACATGTTTAAATCTGGTTACAATCATAATGAGAATTTTATGCAGACCTGAATTATTTCACGCACAACAAAAAATGAAATTAAAAGATTACAGCCTCTCCTCACTTAAGGACGGAGTTCTGTTCTTAAGACCACATTGTTAAACAAATTTGTCGCTAAGTGAGGAGCATACTATAATGGTAGTGAGTTTGTGTCAACCATTTTTGATATTGTTTTAATGTCACCTTTGCACCATTTATAACATTTCTGGTATATTTTTAAATGTTTATACAGTAGTGTATTGTATATTGAAATAAACAGGATAGAGGAAATCAGCTCTTAATATACAATATTTAGGTATGAATACTGGTCAGAGAGCCCATCGTAAATCCGAGGTGTCGGTAAACGTTGCTAAGAGAGGGGGGGCTGCACTTTATATTTAGCAAGATGTGCTTGTAGAGTACTTAGAATCTTTCTTGTTCCTTAATTTCTTTCTGAATACATCTACATTCATTTGAAACTAAAAACACAACCTGCAGCTCAGTAATAGGGCATTTTGCTCACATCTAAAAAGACCTGGACTTGATTTTCAGTGGTTGAGACGTGTGGGCAAGTCTCCTTACACCTTGTGCCCCCCCCTTCATCTAGAAGTAAACAGGGACCTGGGTGTTTAATGACTTGTGGGTCATATCCCAAGGAGTCAGACTTGGCTTTGAAATGAGCCATGGTAGGATAATGACTTAAGGCTCTGCCCCTTTCTCTTAATCATGTCAAAAAGTTAAACGTACATTTCCATTTTTTTAGCAAGTTTTAGATTCGATTAGTTGTTTTGGTGAAATAAAATTGCATACCAAATATTTGCATAAATACTACTTTAATTTATTTTATCTGCATTAGCAAATGTTTAGGCCATATGTTCTTACTTGTAAATTCAACTGTATACCAAAAAAACTCTGTCATCTCCTTTGAGTTGTTCTTGGATGTTACTTCAGAGGAATCATCCTTCTGATTTTTCCAGAAGCGGTACCATCATCAGCAGTCTGAGGAGGGTTTGTTGAGGGCATTGTTACTACTGTTGTGAATGATGAGTTACTACTGTTGTGAATGGTGAATTACTACTGTTGTGAATGGTGAATTACTACTGTTGTGAATGGTGAATTACTACTGTTGTGAATGATGAGTTACTACTGTTGTGAATGATGAGTTACTACTGTTGTGAATGATGAGTTACTACTGTTGTGAATGATGAGTTACTACTGTATTCCTTGAGTATACCTGAAGAGAGTTCTGGGGGTCAGCACCCTAGCAGCCCAGTCTGTGACCAGGCCTCATGGTGGATCAGGGCCTGATCAGCCAGGCTGTTACTGCTTGCTGCACATAATCCAACGTACGAACCACAACCTGGCTGGTCAGGTACTGACTTTAGGTGCCTGTCCAGTGCCTGCTTGAAGACAGCCAGGGGTCTATTGGTAATCCCCCTTATGTATGCTGGGAGGCAGTTGTACAGTCTTGGGCCCCTGACACTTATTGTGTTGTCTCTTATCATGCTAGTGGCACCCCTACTTTTCATTGGGGGGATGTTGAACCATCTGATGAGTTACTGCTGTTGCGAATGATGAGTTGCTACTGTTGTGAATGATGAGCTGCTACTATTGTGAATGATGAGTTACTACTGTTGTGAATGATGAGTTGCTGCTGTTGTGAATGATGAGTTACTGCTGTTGTGAATGATGAGCTGCTACTATTGTGAATGATGAGTTACTGCTGTTGTGAATGATGAGTTGCTACTGTTGTGAATGATGAGTTACTACTGTTGTGAATGATGAGTTACTACTATTGTGAATGATGAGTTACTACTGTTGTGAATGAGTTACTAATATTGTGAATGAGTTATTAGTGTTGTGAATGATGAGTTACTACTGTTGTGAATGATGAGTTACTACTGTTGTGAATGATGAGTTACTACTGTTGTGAATGAGTTACTAATATTGTGAATGAGTTATTAGTGTTGTGAATGATGAGTTACTACTATTGTGAATGATGAGTTACTACTATTGTGAATGATGAGTTACTACTGTTGTGAATGACAAGTTACTACTGCTGTGAATGAGTTATTAATATTGTGAATGAGTTATTAGTGTTGTGAATGATGAGTTACTACTGTTGTGAATGAGTTATTATTGGTGTGAATGATTCATTACTTTTGTGAATGAATTACGGCTGTTGTTAATGAGTTAAAACTGCTGTGAATGAGTTATTGCTATTGTGAATGATGATATACTACTGTATGTTCATACAAGTAATTTGGGTGAAGATACAACTAAGGTAAATATTACTTACCAATTTCTGTTGCACCTCTGAGGTAAGTGGGATTGAAGTCACTTTAGGTCACCGGAAAGTGTCTCCTTCGATATCCACAACCCTCAAACCGCACTCACAAAGCCTGGACCTAAAATTATACATTAATATTGAATAAAACCAGTAACTCTGGTACAATAGTTTAACATGGACTGTATACAAATTTAGGGACTGACTGAAAAGAATGGAGGGGGGGGGGGGGTTCCATTACATATCAACATTATTCCAGCATGTGTTGAACATTTTTAAGTAATCTTTTAATAATTAACACTTGCCAGTTTTTTTTCTCTGGAAGCCACTTACTGCAGATCACCCCACAACACCTGCCTTACTATATAGAGCCTACACTGGCCAGTTAGTTCTACACAAAAAGATGGGTTATACTTCTCTGTGAAGTGTGAGTTCAACCCTTATTTCCTCCATCCACACAAAATTTCTTGATGTCTTACCAATTTCTTGTCCCAATTTCTTCAGTAGGAACATATCACCATTTTTCCAATTATAATTTTGAGGCCTGTACCCCATTAATCACTTCAATTACCTAACTTTTATATCAATATGCAATAATGTATAATATTAACCCTTTCAGGGTCCAAAGGCCCAATTTCATAGTGCGCATCAGTGTCCAAGAATTTTCAAAAAATAATTTTGTTATTTTTTCTTATGAAATGGTAGAGAATCTTTTTCTGAAGGTAATAAAACAAAAAGTACGAAATTTGATGGAAAATTGATGAAATTATGCTCTCGCAAATTTTGATGTGTCAGCGATATTTACGCATCGGCAGTTTTGCCGACTTTGACTCCCATTTTAGGCCAATTATATTACTCCAGTCGACCAAATTCTTAGCTATTTCACTATTATTACTTCTATTCTATTGATTGAGCAAAAGAAATTGCCAAGTCATCTGTTTCAACTACAAAATAAAGTGACCGGAAATTGGTAATTTGGCCAATTTAATGCAAAGTTTAAAATATTCTAATTTCAAAATAGGGTCCAGAATAAACAATGTAGGCATTCCTGGAACTAAACTAACATTTCCTCTGTTCATTAGTTATGTTTTCAGGCTTTACAAATGAATTCCATTTTGATTTTTTATTCATATAATGTATTTTTATTCAAACCAAAAAATAGAAGATTTACTGTTATGCAGTACTGTAATACTGTAATTGTATAAATAAAATCAGCACATTTGTGAACTTCTATTAGACCCACCAGCTGGCATGTATTAGATGTGTGGGATCATTTGTTTACTCTTGAATGTCGGCAAAAATTTAAAATTTCTGCTATTTTGAGCTCAGTTTCAACCCATTTCCATTATTAAAACCAATCAAAATCATCTCTATTTCTGTAATATATCTTCCATTCTATCAAATGAGACCAAGAAATCGCAAATACAACTATGAAAAACATACACAAAAACACTGCAAAGTCGCTGTTTTAATTGAAAATTACGGTCTGATTTTTTTCTCTGATTATGCACTGTGGGCTGCAGGATTTGTTTTATGTGGTGCACACATACCACATAGATGTATTCTCTCATATCTAGGCCTAAATTTACCGCTCACAGCTTATCAGAGTGAGCTGAGCTCATGGCATAGATCTACGGTTTGGACCCTCAACATATAGCCGTAGATCTAAGGCACAGACCCTCATAGGGTTAATGTACTGCTCTGTAATCTGTGTCAGTATAGAATAAGAATTAGGATTAGTCTGCCCAAAATGCCTAGGCATGCTAGAAGCCTTCTTTGTAATTAATATTTTATAATAAGTAAGTCACACATTGTAAGCTTTGCAAGGAAATAAACATTTTCATTTTCATTTCAATGCCCTCAAATAAAATGAAATATTTAATTACTGCTTGCCATTAAAAATTTAGGTACAGAAATTTTAGCTTCTCTTTTTTTCCATTAAGCCTTGCTGATTCTTGTAAAAAAGCTTCATTTTGTTTTATTTTTCAGGAAACAGCAAGATCAAAGATTTATCAAGCTTTGCATTCTCAAGAGATAGATTTTTCTGGAAAAGACTGTTCTGTTCGCTTTAATAGTGTGCAAAGTGGATTGTGTGAAGCAGATATGCAGGAGATTTTATCAGCAAGTTATCTTCCATCCACTGTACACCTTCCCAAAGTTGATTCACCGGAGCACATTGAATGGGTACTGCACAAATTTTACGTTAACATAAGATTCCATTTTGGCTTTTATCCAGTGATGTATTTTGTATCATATCAATCAGTGAACACCTCATTTTTTGTTCATATTTAATCCAGGTATTTTCCTAATGAATTGTTTGTCTTTAACTTTGCACTTAAAACAAGACCCACACTGTTATTGTTACTGTTTTCACTTTATTTAAATACCCAGCAGTTATGCCAAAGAATTACACCTAACAGTTAATCCATATTAAATTATATATATATCCTTGTGTATTTTCTTTGTGATTTTCTTTTTCTTTTTTTTGATATGTATAATAGTGAAATAACATGGTGATTGTTTTTGAAAATCAGTGTGTTAGAAGAAATCATATTTATATCGACTAAAGAACATATGGTAAAAATAGGGTTACGTTTTTGAGACCTTCAAAAGAACAAACAAGTTATTTACAATAATAATTCATATCTTACATTGTTGCTGGATGTCATTTGGTATAAATTAATGTATTACTGTACTGTACATTTTTTTAACACATTGGGCATTTCCTACCAAGGCAGGTTGACCTGAAAAAAAAGAAACACTTTCATCATCACTCACTCCATCGCTGTCTTGCCATAGGTGCACCTACACTTCAATTCAAAAACTGCTATATATCTTCACCCCTCCTTCAGAGTGCAGGCACTGTACTTTCCCCCTTCAGGACTCGAGTCCAGCTTGCCGGTTTCCCTGAATCTCTTCATAAGTGTTACTCTGCTCACACTCCAACAGCACGTCAAGTCATATAAACCATTTACCTCCACTTGCTCCTATCTAACATGCTAACGCATGCTTGCTGGAATTCCAAGCCCCTCGCTAACAAATCCTCCTTTACTCCCTCCCTCCAACCTTTCCTAGGATGACCCTTTTCTCACCTTCTTCCACTACATATTTATATGCCCTCCAAGTCATTCTGTTTTGTTCCATCTTCTCTGAGTGTCTGAACCACCTCAGTAACCCCTCTTCAGCCCTCTGGATAATACTTTTAGTAACCCTACACCTCTAATTTCCAAGCTACATTGCCCTCAGACACATCTCCGCTGCCTCCCGCCTTCTCTTTGTTGCAACATGCACCACCCATTCTTCACACCCATAAAAGAGCATTTGTACTACTGTACTTTCATACATTTCCCTCTTTGCTTCCATAGATAACATTCTTTGTTTCCACAGACTCCTCAGAGTACTACTAACCTTTTCCCCTCATCAGTTCACCTTGTCTTTCATAGGCCCATCTGCTGACATATGCTGTCTTTCTTTACCTAAATTTTTTATCATCATCACCTTGCTCTTTCCTGTGTTCACCTTTAATTTCCTTCTTTTATATACCCTCCCAAATTCATCCACTTTCCTCTGCAACTTATCTTCAGAACCTCCCAAAAAGCAGTGTCATTAGCAAGAAAGCAAATTCAAATTCAAATTCATTTACTTCTTCGCAAGTAGTACATTGAGATTATATTTTTACAGTGATGGGTTGCAGTACAAAGAGAGCCTCTATTATGCCTTGGCATTATGGGCTGACTTAACGTAATGGCTTACTGACTACTTATCACTAAAGAAATTATCATAGTTGTACAGTACAGTGGACCCCCGCATACCGTTGGCATCACATAACGTTTAATCCGCATACCGATACATTTTATCGCTAAAATTTTGCCTCGCATACCGCTTAAAAACCCGCTCACCGCTGTTCGTCCGAGACGCGTCCAATGTGCCCCCTCAGCCAGCCTCACATGTGCCGCCGGTGGCATTGTTTACCAGCCAGCCTCCGCGGTAACATCCAAGCATACAATCGGAATATTTCGTATTATTACAGTGTTTTCGGTGCTTTTTCTGGAAAATAAGTGACCATGGGCCCCAAGAAAGCTTCTAGTGCCAACCCTACAGCAATAAGGGTGAGAATTCCAATAGAGATGAAGAAAGAGATCATTGATAAGTATGAAAGTGGAGTGCGTATCGCCGACCTGGCCAGGTTGTACAAGAAACCCCAATCAACCATCGCTACTATTGTGGGCACCAGAAAGGCAATCAAGGAAGCTGTTCTTGCCAAAGGTTTAACTGTGTTTTCGAAACAAAGATCGCAAGTGATGGAAGATGTTGAGAGACTCTTATTGGTGTGGATAAATGAAAAACAGCTAGCAGGAGATAGCGTCTCTCAAGCGATCATAAGCGAAAAGGCTAGGAAGTTGCATGAGGATTTAATTAAAAAAAATGCCTGCAACTAGTGCTGATGTGAGTGAATTTAAGGCCAGCAAAGGTTGGTTTGAGAGATTTAAGAAGCGTAGTGGCATACATAGTGTGATAAGGCATGGTGAGGCTGCCAGTTCGGACCACAAAGCGGCTGAAAAATATGTGCATGAATTCAAGGAGTACATAGAGGCTGAAGGACTAAAACCTGAACAAGTGTTTAATTGTGACGAAACAGGCCTGTTTTGGAAGAAAATGCCAAGCAGGACCTACATTACTCAGGAGGAAAAGGCACTCCCAGGACATAAGCCTATGAAAGACAGGCTTACTTTGTTGATGTGTTCCAATGCTACTGGTGAATGCAAAGTTAAGCCTTTATTGGCGTATCACTCTGAAACTCCCAGAGCGTTCAGGCAAAAGAATGTCCTCAAGGAGAATTTGTGTGTGCTGTGGAGGGCAAACAGTAAGGCATGGGTCACTAGGGACTTTTTCTATGACTGGTTACACCATGCATTTGCCCCCAATGTGAAAGATTACCTAACTGAAAAGAAATTAGAACTTAAGTGCCTCCTGGTGTTAGACAATGCCCCTGGTCATCCTACAGACGTGGCAGAGCGACTTTATGGGGACATGAAATTCATTAAGGTGAAGTTTTTTGCCTCCTAATACCACTCCTCTCCTGCAGCCCATGGACCAGCAGGTTATTGCAAACTTCAAAAAACTGTACACAAAAGCTCTGTTTGAAAGGTGCTTTGTAGTGACCTCAGAAACTCAACTGACTCTAAGAGAGTTTTGGAGAGAGCACTTTAATATCCTCAATTGTGTAAACCTTATAGGTAAGGCTTGGGAGGGAGTGACTAAGAAGACCTTGAACTCTGCTTGGAAGAAACTGTGGCCAGAATGTGTAGACAAAAGGGATTTTGAAGGGTTTGAGGCTAACCCTGAGAGGATTATGCCAGTTGAGGAATCCATTGTGGCATTGGGAAAGTCCTTGGGGTTGGAGGTTAGTGGGGAGGATGTGGAAGAGTTGGTGGAGGAGGACAATGAACTAACCACTGATGAGCTGATAGATCAACTTCAACAGCAAGAGGCCAGACCTGAGGAAACTGGTTCAGAGGAGGGGAGAGAGAAATTGAAGAAGTTACCTACTACAAAGATTAAGGAAATCTGTGCAAAGTGGCTTGAAGTGCAAACCTTCATGGATGAAAATCACCCTCACACAGCTATTGCAAGCCGTGTTGGCAACCTGTACACTGACAATGTTGTGAAACACTTTAGGGAAGTCATAAAGGAACGAGAGGTACAGGCCACTATGGACAGATATGTTGTGCGAAAGAAGTCCAGTGACTCTGAAGCTGGTCCTAGTGGCATTAAAAGAAGAAGGGAAGTAACCCCAGAAAAGGACTCGACACCTCAAGTCTTAATGGAAGGGGATTCCCCTTCTAAACACTAACACTTTCTCTCTCCTCCTCCCATCCCATCAATCATCACCAGATCTTCAATAAAAGTAAGTGTCATGTAATTGTGCATGCCTTTTTCAGTTTGTGTGTATTAAAATTAACATTTCATGTGGTAAAAATTTTATTTTTTCATACTTTTGGGTGTCTTGCACGGATTAATTTGACTTCCATTATTTCTTATGGGAAAAATTCATTCGCATACCGATCATTTCGCATAACAATGAGCCCTCTTGCACGGATTAAAATCGCTATGCGGGGGTCCACTGTAGTTCTATTTATAATAGGTGAATCTAATTTATGAGAGCAAATGAGAGAGTGTGTGAGATGTTATCAACAAATTTTGTTGAAAATAAGAAAAAGTTTTGGAGTGAGATTAACAAGTTAAGGAAGCCTAGAGAACAAATGGATTTGTCAGTTAAAAATAGGAGAGGAGAGTTATTAAATGGAGAGTTAGAGGTATTGGGAAGATGGAGGGAATATTTTGAGGAATTGTTAAATGTTGATAAAGATAGGGATGCTGTGATTTTGTGTATAGGGCAAGGAGGAGTGAGGAAGAGCCAGTTGTGAGTGTGGGGGAAGTTCATGAGGCATTAGGTAAAATGAAAGGGGGTAAGGCAGCCAGGATTGATGGGATAAAGATAGAAATGTTAAAAGCAGGTGGGGATATAGTTTTGGAGTGGTTGGTGCAATTATTTAATAAATGCATGGAAGAGGGTAAGGTACCTAGGGATTGGCAGAGAGCATGCATAGTTCCTTTGTATAAAGGCAAAGGGGACAAAAGAGAGTGCAAAAAATTATAGGGGATAAGTCTGTTGAGTATACCTGGTAAAGTGTATGGTAGAGTTATTATTGAAAAATTAAGAGTAAGACGGAGAATAGGATAGCAGATGAACAAGGAGGCTTTAGGAAAGGTAGGGGGTGTGTGGACCAGGTGTTTACAGTGAAACATATAAGTGAACAGTATTTAGATAAGGCTAAAGAGGTCTTTGTGGCATTTATGGATTTGGAAAAGGTGTATGACAGGGTGGATAGGGGGGCAATGTGGCAGATGTTGCAGGTGTATGGTGTAGGAGGTAGGTTACTGAAAGCAGTGAAGAGTTTTTACGAGGATAGTGAGGCTCAAGTTAGAGTATGTAGGAAAGAGGGAAATTATTTCCCAGTAAAAGTAGGCCTTAGACATGGATGTGTGATGTCACTGTGGTTGTTTAATATATTTATAGATGGGGTTGTAAAAGAAGTAAATGCGAGGGTCTTGGCAAGAGGCATGGAGTTAAAAAATAAAAAATCAAACATAAAGTGGGAGTTGCCACAGTTGCTCTTCGC